AAAAAAAAACTCACAAAAATGTGCCCTTAGTGTTCACTTATTCATTGTATTTTGGTGTGTAAGGTTAGCAAAGAGCTTTACTGGTACTGACCCCAGTGCCACTGATTTCAGCCACACTGGCGTGCTCAAACTGGCAGGTGCTAGGAAAAGCTAAGGGGACCCGCAGGATTCAGTTGGCGGAGGGGGGCTGCTGGCTTTCGTGAGTCACGTGTGTTCCCGTGCGTCCGGAAAGCACGAGCCTGCGTCCACACAGAGGCTGAGTGATGTGATGGTTTAAGGATCTAGAAGATTATTCGGGGAGGGCGGTAAGAGCAGGTAAGAACGAGAACAAAAAACAGAAGTCCGCATCCAGACACAGGCGCCCACACTCACAGCCAGGCCCTTAGGTTTCCGATAAGGGGAGGTGATGGGAAACGTAATATGTGCTGGGGGAGAGCGGACGCAGGTTAGTCCGTTTTCATCCTTACTCTCAAACGTGTGTGTCCCCAGGGGTAGGATCCCTAGAATTGCCTTCCAGACTCCCATCAGAGCAAGGGCAATGTCACGTCTTCGGACGCCTTACATGCCGCACCTCGCGAGAGTCCACGGAGATTGTCGGCAGGTGGAAACAGGTGCGGCAGCCCCTGTAGGGTGAGGGTGCCCCGGATGGTCCACGCTGTGCCCGTGGGTAGCCACTAGATGGGGTACCTTCTCAAACCCTCCCAACCCCCCAGGATAGGGCCCCTTATTCCAGAAGCCAGACGCCAGAGACCAATTCTTCCACCTTATATAATCAGGTAAGTGCGGGCTATCAGATTTAGAAGCATCTCATTTTACAAATGCAGAAAAAAAAGAAATGTCTCGTAGCTGGAGAAGGGGAAACACACGATGGTTCACTGAGTCACACATGGTTCCAGGGAATTTATTCTCTTAAAATTGTCCCTAAAAAGCTTTAGGGTATCAGTAACCAGCAAAAAGTTATTTTATACCTCTGCCTGGGGCGCCTGGGTGGTTCGGTCGGTTGGGCGTCCGACTTCGGCTCAGGTCATGATCTCACAGTCTGTGAGTTTGAGCCCTGCATCGGGCTCTGTGCTGATGGCTCAGAGCCTGGAGCCTGCTTCCGATTCTGTGTCTCCCTCTCTCTCTGCCCCTCCCCTGCTCTTGCTCTGTCTCTCTCTGCCTCAAAAAGAAATAAAAACATTTAAAAAATTAAAAAAAAAAAAAGAAAGGAGGGGGAAAAGGAGGGAAATTCAATGTGAAGATTGAAGGCAGCTATCACTTGAAATCTGGGCGGTAGACGGAACTTACTCTGTAGACAGAACACACAGTAATACCAAAATAAAAACTTGACAGGTTTGTTCTCCCTAATGTAAACAAAAGGTGAGGAACCAGGACCTGGCTTAAGAGAGGAGTTAAGTTAGTTAAGTGGGGCTTAGCCTGAAGAAAGAAGGAGCAGAAAAGAGGAGAGGAGGAGGCTGAGTGATGTGATGGTTTATTAAGGATCTAAAAGATTACACGGGGAGGGTGGTAACTCCGGGAAGGGCATTCTAGGCAGAGGGAACAGACAAAGTGACCGAG